TAGCTACAGGTATGTAAGCCAATTTTTGCAGTAAAATGTGCAGGTTAACTGACATTGAACAGTTTTTTGTTGCTATAAAAATAAGAGGTGAGTTGAGAATCAGCCTGAGTGTATATGTTTGCACTTACGTGCTATTATGTGTTTATGTTTGCTAAGCTGATTAGCCACATGCAGATGTTCATGCCTGGTTAAAAGTGTTGTAGTGTAGGGAAAGTTTTAGATCCTCCAGGTAAGCAGTAAAATATACATGGGGATAATGGAGTTTATTCACAGTTATAGATAAGATAAGATAGAACTTTATTAATCCCTCGGGTGGGTTCCTCTGGGAAATTCGACTTCCAAAAAAAGCACAGCAACGACCGAAGTTACAGTTACAGAACTGTTATATATATATATATATACATATATACACACACACACACACACACACACACACACACACACACACACACACACACACACATATATATAAATACAGAGACAAATATAAATAAAATATACAAAGGGGATAAATAGAATAAATAGGAATAAAAAATAAAAATACAAGTGAATTGCACATTTCAAGTATTGAGTCTATTGCACTGTTGACTATTTACAAAAAGTATTGCACAAGGTATTGTACAGTGAGGTGAAGAGGCACTACAGCTTAGTTGTTCCCCCTCCTTTGTCCTCCTGTTTCCCCTCCCTCTCCCCTCCAGAGAGGAGTTAAACAGTCTGATGGCGTGTGGGACAAAGGAGTTTTTAAGTCTGTTAGTTCTTGTCTTGGGGAGAAGCAACCTGTCACTGAACAGACTCTTCTGGTTGTTTATGGCCGTGTGCAGAGGATGCCCAGCATTGTTCATAATGTCCATCAGTTTCTTTAATGTCCTTTTCTCTGCCACTGTCACCAGAGTGTCCAGCTTCATGCCGACCACAGAGCTAGCCTTCCTGATCAGTTTCTCCAGCCTGGATGAGTCCTTCTTTGCTGTGCTGCTCCCCAGCACACCACAGCATAGAAAAGTACTCCAGCAACCACTGACTGGTAAAACATCCTCAGGAGCTTCCTGCAGATGTTAAAAGACCTCAGCCTCCTGAGGAAGTACAGTCGGCTTTGGGCTTTTTTATACAGGTGCTCTGTGTTGCATGACCAGTCCAGTTTATTGTCCACCCACAGCCCGAGGTACTTGTACTTGTTGACCACCAGGACTATGTATAAAAGATGAATAATGCCACTGTGCTGCCACACGTTGGGTAGTGACGTCCCATTGATAAACATAAAGCTGAGTATTTCATTTGTTATCAAACTGATGTTTAAGACTGGATATGACGAGTGAGCGGCAGCGCTGGTTGGTGGTTCTTAGTTTATCATCCTTTATGACTTTTAGTAAGGACTGTAATTTACAAAATAAATATTTAAATATGTCCCAAAGCTAGCAATTAAAACTGTGAAGTAATCAGGAAAGTGTTTACAGAGGTCGCAGAGCAAATGAGCTGAGGGTCCTTAAACCTTTCCATACAACCAGAAGTCTAAAAACCAATGCATTCATGTTTATGTTCATCATGCCCGGCACCCTCTGGAAATTCATACAGATTGTTGAATTTCTAAATGTGTCGAGTGTATTTATGTTCTCATAAAACATTAGCAAAGACATATTTTTTACATTTTATTTTTTAGATGATTTCCATCCATGTTTGCTAACCTTTGCAGGCACATTGCTTTGCATAAACCGATTTGTACTGCTGTCAGTTGTTTACGCACAATATAAAGAGCGAGGGGGACTCACATTTATTACTGCCGCTACAAACCAAAACCTCCGCACGGCACCTTTAAACATATTTAGTAATACGCCGACTAAACTACTTTTTAATAATTGAACATTCAGTCCAAATCATCCTAGGTTTTCACAGATGTGAGCCAGTCTGACAAACATTTTGAAAACAACATCAGTGAACCCAGCTGCCCCCTGATACTGGTAGAAGAGGTTTGGATCATAACAGAAAATGTGATTCATTCAGCAAGTAGCAGCAGTCACCTTAGTGTACAGAATTACTCTCCAGGCACCTAACTGCATAAAAACATGCAAACACACACACACACACACACACACACACACACACACACACACACACCTCCACTCTCTCCCAGAAGCGCAGTTGGACTCCAGTTTAGTGTAAGGTATCTCGTTTCATCCAGCCTCTGTGCTGGGACTGTTTGAAGCAAAGGAAGCTCTTGTGTTTGATGGAGACTTACCTTCTTCCTCATCTCCTCTCAGCTTCCAGAGAAACTTCTCCTCTTTGATGTCTCTCCCTCCTCCACTTTCTGCCTCCTGTCATCCATCTTTCCTTTATATTTTTTCCCCCCTTTTGCCTTCTTTCCATCTCCCTCCCTAAGAAAGTATTCTGTCCATATGGAGGTGGTGGAATTGCATAAAAATGTCGTTTCATAGCCTGCAGGGCCGAGTAGAGACACTAAAAGTTTAATTTAACAGTGGCAACACCTCCCGGCACGGTGTTTCTGGGAGGCTGGTGTCTCATTAGTAATCAGAAAAAAACGTGCAATCAGGATAGAAATCCATCAAGTAGAATTCAATAACCAATTCAAATGATTTTTTTTCTTATGAAAGAACTAGAATAAGTCCTACACAGAGCTAAATATATCCAAATATATTGGATGAAAACAGGCATCGGCAGAAGTTTTTAACAATTCAAGAAGTTGAGACGTGTGTTTTACCCATTTTTGTTGTTGTTGTTGTTGTTTTTACCTTGTAGTAAATGTTTTGTTATTAGTTAAACAGTGATAAATGTATTTTTTCCATATCTTATAGTTCCAGGAGACGTTCCAGTTATTGATTGTGTTTCATCGGTGTACAAGGCTACTTCTTGTGCCAGCAGTGAAGTTACATCAAACTGAGTTCAACAATTGACACAACTGTCAGAACAAACGCTTGAAGATGAAACATTAATTATTGATCTGCTCGACGATTAGTGAAACAGCTTCATCACTCGAGTTGATTGTCTGTGAAATGGCTACACCATCCATTAGCTGCCTGCTGTCTTTCTGTCTGTTTTTTTGAAACCTCATCTCTTTTTTCCCCTTTTTTAAAAAAAACGTGAATTCTTGCTCTGCGCACTTCTTTGAACCCTCGAGCTCATTATCTGTACTTGGAGCCATTTACTAAGTCTAACCTATTTTCTCTGCTTGATATAGCAGAAAGCTTTTCTGTGTTAGGGGTAAAGGATGCTTTGGACTTGTTTTTTTTAACTTAACTACTGTATTTTCTTAAAGGGCTGTCTTCATTGACTTTTACAAAATAGTTGAAAGCACAGCCTGCACTTTATCCTTTCTGCAGAGTCTATAAAGTTCAAGCTCTTTGTTGGTTATCTGGTAAGAGAAGAAAAAAGCAGAGGGATAACTGCTGGTGAGAAGATGTGCAAATAGGAATCACCAAATCAACAAAAACCAAACAGTTGAGTCACAATGCTGAAGCTAACCCTGACTTATAGTCATGAGCTCTGGGTAGTGGCGAAAAGAACACGATCATGTATACAAACAGGCAAAATGAGCTTCCTCTGTAGGGTGGCTGATCTCAGCCGTAGGTACAGGGTGAGGAGCTCAGAGCCGTTGCTCCTCTATGTTCAAAGTAGTCGGCTAAGGTGGTTTGGGCGTCTGATTAAAATGCCTTCAAGATACCTCCCTTTGAAGGTTTTCACAGCACGACGAACTGTGGGGCAAACCCAGTGCCTCAGTATTCCCTATAAGAAACGTAAAATAAGACTAGGAACACTTGGAATACTCTGTTTATCTTATCCTGCCTGACTTTAGATAAAAAGAAGAGGGTGGATGAACGACGTAGGAGCTTACTGCCAATCACCTGCAACACTGATGACATTAAATTCTTCCATGGGTCTCCAACACATATTACATGATGGATAATTTCCAAAATAGCCACAACTACACAGAGTTTAGCAAATGAGACCAAATTAACTCATTCTAAAAATGTATATGCTTAATATTTCTAGTTGGACGTTGACTGTATTTGAGTGGGCACTAGAGGCATTTACCCGGTATGTACAGGATGTTATTGGTAAAGCAAAATAGCAGTTTGTTCCTTGTGTGTGTGGATGGTTGGTAAAGTAAAGTACTAGTTCCATCAAGTACTGACAGCAGCATGGCTGCGATCTGCTTATTGGCTAAGGCTGACCTCTGACTTCCCCTTGGAGTAAAAAGGTAGGGTAATTGCTCTCTGCGGAGACCATTACAGCGTTGTACCATCCCTCTGTTAAAACCTGAAAAGTGACCAGTCGGCATTTGCCGATTGGTCACTTTTCTCTCAAGGCCTCTGGAATCTTTTCCTACCAAGAGGAACATATCACTGATTTTCTTTCCCCAACTCTCCACATGTATTTGTGTCAACTCTGACATCCCAGGGTCATTTTAATCCTGCATAGATTGGAATGTAGAGTTTAGTGCAATTTTCAACTTGCACACATAGCATCTGTATTACAACGGCCATAAAAAGCAGTAGCGGGGCAGATGGATTAGATTAGATGATTGACGATTCCTGTGGGGAAATTAGATTGCTGCTGCTGCAATAGTAATAGGATTCAGCAGGAGAAGAAGACAAACAGAATATAAGCACACATTCAGAATAGGAAATCAGCAGTGGAAGGAAGGAAGGATCTGAGCATTTAAGCACAGTTTGGTGCCAAGAAAGAAAAACAAAAATCAAAGTGCATCTGGCTCTGCACTGAGGCCACTTGTAGAATTTTGCTAGTTATGTGGGTGTGATGTGTGTGTTACATTGATGTGGTAGAGTCCCAGGATTACCGCAGTCCAAAAAAAGATGACTAAGATTACTTGTGTGCTTGAGCAACCTCAAGCGTCCTATCATACCTGCTTGTATTGCTGTCCAGAGAGAGTTTATGAATTCATCTGCTTGCAACTGCTCCCCGGTGCTTTGGTTATGTAACATCCACAAATTCACCATTACCTCACAGCAACATTTTATCCCGTTTCACAGGTACCTCGGTCGTGACGACGTGGCCGAGGCGTCTCTGAGCAAAGCCCAGGAGGAGGGAGGCAGCGTCCGACTGGTCACAAAGGAGAACTTCTTCACAAAGAGGAGGTCTGCCTCTTCGCTAACACCACCTGCTACACAGAGGTTTGTTAAGGGAAAAAACGCGCACATAAAGGTCAAGTTGTCCTCAGGTCTGTAAGTAGTTTGCTGCTAATATATGAAACTAAAATTCAAATGTATTTCTAGCTGATCACTGTGTTTCTCCTGTCTACTACACAAACGGTATTTTGATCATTCATAGATCCGTTCTTGTCTGTAGTATTTAAAGATGAAACTTCAAGGTCTGCACATGAAGGTGGTTTGTCTCACCACATGGTTTCCTCTTCAGGATTCAGAGTATTTTCATTTTCTTTCCCTCAGCTGTCTCCATGGAGATCTGTATGTGCCTTGTGGGAGAGACACAAAGGCCCACTGAGTGTGTTAGTACAGTAAATATAGACCATAATACGATCTACTGGGTGAGATGCATCGGCCAGCTCACCCCAGGAGGCAATATCTCTATGGAAACCTGCAGCAAACACACAGACGAGCTCTCACACATATACACAGTTACTGGTGTTACATACAAAATGTCTGTGATAATCTATAAAGTGCCTTAAAGGCTCTGTTCAGGATATGTGCTTTTAGACAATAGATAGCGTTTTACTGCATGAGGTATACAGCAGTGTCTGGAAGTATAAAGTGTCTGACAGAAGCAAGCACTGCTGTGTGAATAAACACGGTAAAAGGCAGCATGGTAACAACATTAAATGGCCATTTATAAAAGCTGACTTAAAAAATGTGCTAATATGCTAGTAGCTAGAATAGAAATGGCATCCATCCGTCCAACTAACTGTGGCGTGTGGTTGGAGGGATGAGGAGAATCCATGTTTTCATAAAGTAGGAAGATTGACATCCATCACTGTTATCTATTTAAGCATTCAAGTAAAACTTGTACATAATATTGAACTGCTCCTTCAAAACAACAAATTCAGTTCAGTTCCTGCTAATACTTCCTGCTGGCTGATATCACTTGACATTTGAACTGTGGCTATAAGTTATACTAGAGTAAAAAAAAAGACAGCAAGCTCTTAGATTGTAAGGCATCTGCACAAGTCATCTGATGGGAGGCAACCTGTCTCCAAACAGTAGCAGTCTGACTCTGACTGACTGCAATCATTCTCTAAAATATTGGCAATGTTTTCCAAGTAAATGTTGTCCAGTTTATAAACACAGATACAATGGCACTCTGCTCTGATAAGCACAACTGACTGTGAACTAAAGAAACAGACATTTCTGATAACATACATCCGTTTAAAACGAGCGCATGTCTGGTATTGAAGGTATCAGTTAATCTTAAAGTGTGCCACCTATGCCTGGGCGTGGGCTAAAAAGGAAATCCTGCCATGCAGCATTCGTCACTAGTGTCCATTTTGAAGGGAAACAGTCTTTATATTGCTATCCACATGAAAGCAACATGCTAAAATGTGGAAAATAAGAATCTCGATTAACAGCTGGACGTACCAGTGTCAGATCTGGTTGGTGCCTTTGGTTTCTTTCGGTATAGAGCACCAGAGATGAGCCAAGGTGGTAAACATTCTACATCTATAAACCTACATTTTTGATTCACATGCATTTTTTGGCAAATGCATTGATGTTTTACAGTTTCTAAAAGACATATTTCTGGCTTTTCTGGATGTTTTCACTATTCTCAGTTTGGACACACAAGTAAAAAGTCTATTTGTGTCTCTCTTTCATCGACTAGACTTTGCTGGCACACCATTTGTCCCATGATACTTCCAGTTTTTGGTATATTCTCAACTTTGAAACAGCAAGGTTCCCTTTTTAGAAGGTTCTCTTCTCTATTTCAATGATTAAATTACCTTCTGTAGTGCTCTGTCACTCTGGCTCTTTGTTCCTCTTGCTGTCTCTCTGAATTGTAAACCATGGGGAAAGAGAATTTAGTCCATCTGTCCCCTCCAACGTGGCTCTAGCACCCTGCTGGGACTACATGGCAAATGCCCAGATTTGCTGTCTTCTGCCAGACGGACATGCACGCAGATACACATACTAGAAATGTTTTGCAGATAGAGCATTGTAATATACTAAATATACAGGAAAAAAACTGATTTATTTCTGTTGCATGGATATTTACACTGAAATGTATTTGCAGTTTGTAGAAGAAAGTGAGCTTTGTTTAATTTAGATCAGGTTTACAGGGTAATGTCTTGACTGATCCCTCATTTCTTTATACATGGGTGCAGCGAGTTATAAAAATGTGCAAAAATACACGAAAATCCTGAATATAAGGCAAAAACAGAGTTTGTACAGTTCTAATGAGCTTGAAAGTGAATACATGGTATGACCACCTTTATGCTTCAACACAGCCTGAACTCTCATTGGCAGCTTTCTTGTCATTTCTTTAATTAGCCATCAGGAATAGTTCTCTTGGCTTCTTGAAGGACATTCCTGAAGTCTTTTTTGGAGAGCAGGTAAACCAAAAAATTCAAATTTGGATTAATCACAACATCAGACTTGTTGCTACAGATTTTTCTCCCTGTTTCCCTTCGTTAATAATGTCTTCTTGACAGCCACTGTACCACTGAAATCACTTCTGATAAGGCTTCAGTGAGCAGTAGAACTGAAGGGCCACATGCATCTCTCAGGTCTTAGTCGATTAGTTAGATTTTTTTCTGTTTTTTACACACAAATGGCTTTTCGATACTGCTTGCCTACTAGAGAAAGGTGTGACATTTCTTCTCATGTCCCCTCCTTGTCTTGGATCCATATTTTTTTAAGGACACACCAAGCCGAGATATGCCAAGTTTTCAGCTAATAGCTCTTTGGGAGTCTGCTTGGTGGTGCAAAAAATACAATTTTATGCACGTCAGACTGTGTTATCTTTAGTATTTTTAGTAGAATCATCTAAAGAAATGAGAACAAATGATGTGTTTTTGTGACAGGCTGCTAGTGAAAAAGTGCCTAAAGCTACAATTTAAAATCGCTTCTTTGCTAAGTTAGCAGTGGTTCATGCCATTAGGTGTTTTTTTTATACTTACAAAAAGTGGGCAAAAAAGTATTCCTGTGAAAATGTTCACGCACAAGGACCGATAATCAGTGATGAAGCATCCAAAGAAACAAATGTGGGGAACTATTGCTCAAGGGCGCTTTAAAATATGACGCAAACTATAAACAAGTGAGAGGAGGTGTCTTAAGACTTTTGCACACTACTGCATGTTCAGATTCAAGGTCAGTGGCTACACATTAAACACGGTGTTTAATGAAAGAAGCTGTTGTGAATCTTTTTAACGTCGTTGTTGAAAAGAATAAAACCTTCATCAATGGGAACTATTTTTATAACAAATTCATTTGTATTGTTTTTGTTGAGATTTGGGATGCCTGGCCTTTTATTGTGCTCCTCTTCGCCGTGTTTTCTACTTTCGCCTGAGGTCACCTGAAAAATTAAGATGAAAACTCGTCTTCCCCGCTGTCGCCAAGTGCTTTCTCATCATCATCATCGTTTGAAATCATAGGGGCTCTCTCTCTGCTGAGCTCACCATGAAATATAAAGCTCCTTGAGATGACTTTTGTGATATAGATAAAATGCTCCGCTCTTTAAAAATACAGGGCATAGTGCTGGTAGGTGTGGTTAGTTTTGCAAACTCGCAAACTAAGAGATGATATCCAGCTGCAGGTAATTTACTAACAGGACAGGCACACAACAAATCAGAAAACCATATAAATACAGGGGATACGCGTGTATGTTAAATGTAGGCCTATGGTGATAATCTGGCAGACAGTCATTTGAATGGAAACAGGCTCGAGTCATTCAGACAGGCTCTGATCTAGGACTGTAAACTGCACAGCAGTATTTTAGCCTTGTGTTCTGTAGCGTTCTTGTATTAAGACAACTTCCATATAGATAACATATCTGCGATATGTAACTCATGGAGAGTCAAAGTATGTGCAGCTAAAAACAGTCATGTGTTAGATCTCACGAGATCAGGCGAAAACCTCGTGCGCTGTCCATGGTCCTGAAATTCTAGTGTAATAAAACTGCATTAAAGAAAGTTTTTTTTTCCTTTATTAAGGGAAGTTTTTCAGTTCATTAATGTAAATGAGTGTAAGAAGTTTTGTTGCTGCTGGTATTGCGTGACTCCCTTAGGTTGGATGATCCAGGTCATCTTTGAGTTCACTGAGCAAATTTAGAATTCAGCTGGCTGGGTCATCTATACGGTTTTACGTCTTTACGTCTACGTATCCTCTGCAGCCATATCAAGTTCAGAAATTGAGACATGCTTTTTATCTGCGTTAAATATTAGCTCAATTATCAGCAAAGTGCAAGTTGCAAATCAGTTTGTGCACATGATTTAAATATTATTCTCCCTATAGTTTGCGCTTTGAAAAAAGAACTCCGTGACGTTCATATGCAACAGTCACATAAACCTTTGAGTTCTCACTTTTTACTCACAGTCGTGTCATTGCACTCCTTTTACACCAAAGCTCAGTTTGTGCTGGAGCAACATGTTAGCAAATCTGGTGTTTGGACATTGAAGTCCTTCAGTACCACATCTGACTTACAAACATACAACCGTCTGTTGAGAATTTGAGAATGATGTCTTTTTGGTCTGAAGTTACCATCTACCACTTCTTCACTCCCGACTATGTTTCCCCTTTCTCTGTCTCTCTCACAGCAGGCAGGACAATCAGTCCTGTAGGACATCAGATGCACAGTCATCAACAGAGTCCAGCTACCTGCAGGCTGTGGACAGTCAGGGTGTCCCTCTGTGTCTCTCCTGCCAGCAGCCCTGCTCTACCACAGGTGGAGCGTGGGACACTCGATTCTGCAGCCACAGGTATTGCAACACTAACTACATACAGTTAGAGGAAAAGCTACGGGCTAAACTGGACATTTCCAACTTGTAATAACTTGAGAATTGCTCAAAAAGTTCTGGAGAAGATTTGTAGATAATATAGATCTCAGTGCACCTGATGTGCGAGGTCTACTGCAACAGCAGTGTCTTTGATTGGATGTCAGCCAAACAAAAACATATTAAATCAACTTTCACACAGTTTGAGAGGTTTTTTCCCCCCAAACTTCCCTGTACTCATTGTCCTCTGCGCAGAAGCCCACCCATCTGGCACCAAAAAATTCAATTATATTCAGAGCTTTAAGAGTTTGTGTGCAAAACAAACTCAGAAACACAGCAGTACAATGTTGACTTCACCCTGTTGTTTACTTTCTTTGTAGAAAGAATACTGTTTGCTCAAGACTAAAATAGATTAGACTTCAACTCTTGCATCTATAATGGTCTTTTTTCAAATCTTTTCCTGTAAATTTTTTGGGGGGGAATCAGTCAAATTTGGTCTTTACCAAACTTGATACCATTACCAATGTAAAATAAAAGTTTTTTATGGAAAATCTAAAGCAAACCTATTTCGGTTTAGTTTTTCTGGAGATGCTGCACCTTTTCCTGGCAGTCTTAATTCGATTAAATGGTTTTCAAAAGCCAGCTTCTGTTTTTTAACCAACATGAGAAAAACTTTCTATGTGAATGATTTTTAAAATAGAAAGAATTTAATCACAAGTTTCTTTCTGTAGTGCAGATGTTTCTATGTGCTTTGACCCACAGGTGTCAGGAGGAGTTCCAGTTGCGCTCCAGCCAGACTTACATGCGGTCTCAGGTGTTGGAGGCAGAGCGCGGCATCTGTCAGCACTGCGGCCTCCACGCCCATGACCTGTTCATTAAGGTTCGTGATGCTCCACCCTCCCAGCGAAAGGAGATCCTGGAGAACACTTGGCTCACCCAGCTGCCACTCAAACAGGTGGGACATAGAGCAGAGGAGGCACTGTTTCGTATTTGTCTCTCATCCATGTTTCAGGAAAACTCCACCAATGAGCTGAAGAAACTTTTTTTTTTCAAGTGCCAAACAGCCATTAACTATGGTGGTCAGTCAGTGCAACGAGGCAAGTTGTGTCAATGTGAAATTCAACTCCACACCACTGTTTCTGTCTTTTTTATGTCATATTTCTTTCCTGTAGACCTTTATACAACCAAAGGAGTGGCCACAGTGGCGCACAGCAACTTTTACAGAAAGGCGATTGTGTTTTATTCGTTTACACAAGCTGACAGCCCGCTGCAGCTTGATTTACTTTTCCTGGGTGGCTTCACCTTTCTGCACTTCTTCCTGACTGAAAAGCTGTCTCAATCCCAATTCCAAAAAAAGTTTGGATGCTATAGAAAATGTAAATACAAACAGAATGCAATGATTTGCAAATCTCAAAAACCCAGATTTTATTCACACTAGAATATAGAAATTATACCAAATGTTTCAAGTTTGACAATTTAATCTTCCAAAAATATTGGCTGTGTTTAATTTGATGTCAACTAATTAGGTTGATGAGCAACAGGTCAGTAAGACGAAAGGGTACTAAAAGGAGCATGTAGGAGAGGTAGAGCTCTGCAAACTGTTTGCAGATTGTGGAACAATTTCAGATTAAGAATCCTCAATGTAAATTTGCAAAGACTTTGAATACCAGTTTACCAGAATAAGAATAAGTTTGGAGAAATCTCTGTATGCAAGAAACTAGATCAAAAATCAGCATTGGATGTCCGGGATTTCCGCGCACTCAGGAGGCTGCATTACAAACAGGTATGGAAATCACTGCAAGACCACTTCAAGAATTCATTCTCTGTGGATACAGTTCCTCGTGCCAGTTAAAATACTATTGTGCAAAGAAGAAGCTAAATGTTAACATGATGCAGAAATGGTGCTGTCTTCTCTCATTTAAAATGGAATAAAATTTGAAAACTGGGAAAAACATGAGAAACATGGCACCACATCGCCAGGATTGAACAGGAGAGAGACCAATCGAGCTTGTTATAAGGGCTCATATCAAAAGCCTGCATCTCTGATGGTATGGGGTACATTAGTGCCTATGGAATTGGCATCTTCCACATATGGAAAGACACACTGATGCTTAAACATATATACAGTTTGTAGACAACAAACTATACTCCCACCCAGACTACGTCTTTTCCAGGGAAGGTCTTGTGTATTTTAGCTAGACAATGTTAAGCTGCATGCTATTACAACAGCATGGTAAACCGATTTGCCTGCCTGCAGTTCAAACTTTTCACTAACTGAAACATTTGGTGTATAATAAAATGAAAAATACAGAAAAGAAGGCTCAAGAATACTGAGGAGCCAGAATCCAATATCCGACAATAATGGGACAACAATCTTCTCCCAGAAGTCCAGCATCTGGTCTCCTCAGTTGCCAGATATGTGCAGGCTTTTGTCTAAATAAAGTGATGCTACACAGTGGTAGGCATAGCCAACTTTTTTTAACCATTCTGTTCCTGTGGACTTGGAAATGACTTTTTTATAGGGTACATTTTCTCAGTTTACACATAGTTTGGTGTGTTCTTTTCTGAATAAAATATGGGTTTATGAGATTTGCATATCATTGCATTCTGTTTTTTAATTTGTGTTCCAACATTTTCAGAATCGGGGTCATAGTCTGTATATGTCTTCTAAATATTACTTTACATGAAACAGTGTTACTTGTAAATTGAACATAAAATATTAAAGTTTACTGTGGCTGTTCTGTGAGGACGATATGTCTCTAAATGAAAAGCTATTAGAGTTCAGAAACACAGCCCTACAGCTTGATTTTAAAAAGTCGTTTAAATATGTGTATGAACAGGAAGGTGATATATTAGCAAAACAGCTGGTTAAACTTAGTATGTAAACTTAATAAGCAAACTTGCCTGTTTTATTAAACCGGATATGGTCGCAGCTGGCACTCCTCTTCCTTAAGGCTTTCTTTGCTAATGTGGTAAAGCAATTATTAAAAACCTTTATTAAAAACACTGCACAATAAAACTTATTTGCTACAACAGTAATTCGCAGATTGATGGTTTTCTTGCAAATGCTAGCTCCATTTCCACAAAGCATAGACAGTAAGGGATCTCAGAGCAGTGAAAGCTGACCCAGCGGCAGATTGTCTAACACAGTCTCTGCCATCAGTTTCCTGTCAGAGTTACGGGTTAATGCTGCTGGTTTCTCAGCTTGACATGCTCAAGTTATTGTTAACAGGACAAAAAGTTGAGCTTGAGCGCAGACGTGCCTTCAAAATGCTTATCCCATAAAGATGTCTCTGAGTCAAGCAGAGTTAATCCTGCTTCCAGAGACAATAGCCAAATGAGACCAATAAAAGCCAGTAATATACAGGAAGTGCGAAAATGGCAAGAAAGCCTTACTTTTATCTGAGAGGAAAGCAGAATGGGATTGATTCTGCTATGTTTTAATTGATGTTTTTAGATTTTACATCATGATGATCATGATCATTTTTATACATGCAAATATTTAATAAAAAAACTAAAACTACATGGAATCTCATTATACTTCTCATTATTAAAAAAACAGACTGAGTGTCTGAAAATTATCTGTTTTTCCCTTTAAACAGGAAGCAATGCGTGGGTGAACTAAAAAAACATTTATACATACAGGTTTTGCTTGTTGTTTTAAAGTTGTATGATAGCATGCTAACATTTGGTGATTAGCACCCACATTACCTGAGGGAATTTTATTTTGATGTGGTTGGATGTTTCAGGTGTTAAGATTTTTTTTCATATAAGGATGTTTTGTCCTCAATATTGAAAATTTGTACCAACTTTGTTAGATAACAGTCATCAAAATGCACACATTAACTGACATCAGTCTCTCTATGTGAGCCAAAGAACTGACAAAGAAGTTCTTTGTGTGTTTATGTAAGTGCAAAAATAAAAGCACCCTGTACTCCCCATCCCACCCACCTACGCACATATGCATCTACTCACACACACACACGCAGGTTGATCTGCACTCCAAGGGGCCAGCTCCCAGTAAATGGATTGCTGGGCCCATTGATTTTTTTTTTCCCAGTGCCAGGCCTCGACCAGTAAGCCTATTTGATTTGGTTGGCTGTTATCCTGCAAAGCCACCCCCCCACACACACACACACACAAACACACACTCACTCCTCCTCCCCTCTTTCCAGTGCCGCCGGCAGAAGCATCAGCGCCGATCGATGCACCGAGCTTTAGAGGAAACAAACTCAGCCACATGATAAGACACCAGTGGTGGAGAAGCCTTGAGATTATAGGCTCACTCTTTGGTTCATACTGGGGGGGTTTGGTACGTGTGTGTGTGTGTGTGTGTGTGTGTGTGTGTGTGTGTGTGTGTGTGTGAGTGAGTGAGTGAGAGTGAGAGAGTGAGAATGGTTATATGTGTCTATGTTTGTAGCTTGGGCTCTCTTTTTGGCGTGCATGTGTGTAACAGGTGTGGCTGTAATGGTATTTTGATGCGCGTGTGGATTTTCAGGATGTGTTAAAGCCTTTAGGTGCTTGTGAGAGGAGCTTCAGTATGTGTGTAAGTGTGCAGTAGTGAGGTAAGGTGCACCAAAGTGCATGCTTTTGGCACAAAAGCAGGCTCAATTGACTCGAATGTGTGAGAGCTTGTGTGAGAGTGTGTAAGAGAGAGATCTGAACTCTGGCCCTGTGAGCAGGCCTGTTCTTTAAATCTGTTGGGATCAATTCCAGCTCCCTGCCTTAATGTCGGCAGAGTAGTTCTCAAAGTAGGAAAATAGATTTCTGGCCCTGAACTCTTCCCACCAGGATTCTCTCTCTCTATTGTCTTAAGCTCCTCCACTTGCTTGCTCTCTTTTTTCTTTTTGTCTCTATTCTCTGTCATCTTCCCATTCTTGCTTTCTGTTTTCTCCACTTTTTTTTCCTTTTTATATTTTCTTCATAAAATAAATTTCAGATTCACAACAGTATTATCTGCTAGTGAATCCACACTGTGTCCAGTGGGCCTCAGTACATTTTTACAAAGAAGCACTACAGGTCTTCAAATGGTTCAGCTAGTTACTCATTAGCTTTACATCTCAGACGTTCAACAACAACTTCTGCTACTGTTGACTGGTATAGATTATTTTAAAAAAAGAATAATCTTTTACATCACGTGGATGGTCAGGTGAACGTACGTTACTTGCCTGGGAGCTAAGAAGCTAAGCCAGTGGAGGCAGTGTGGTCCTTTGGGCAATGTTCTGCTGGGAAACCTTGGGTCCTGCATCCATGTGGATCGCTTTTACACGTACCGCCTACCTAAGCATTGTTGCAGATCATGTACACCCTTTCATGGAAACAGTATTCCCTTATTAGCAAAACACTGGTGTCTTGCTGTATTTTCTGTAGTAGTCAAAGGAATTGAACTGTGTATTTATATTGTGTCTGTGTTTCTACTCCTTCTCCTTTGCCTCCAAAGACATCAGTTTAACTGATAAAACTGTGACTGTGTCGACTATCACCTTAACAAGTTAAACATATAAAAAAAAAGAGCAATTAAAACAGAAGCTCACCTGAAATACTACTCAGGATATTGCAAATGCATTTTTTTTAATCTTACTTACAAACTTACTCATTGTGTAAGTTTTCCTTGTATGAGGAAAACTCTCCTCCTCTAAATCTAGTGAAAAATGTGCTTTAAAATGTAATTAGCAGAATTTTTTTTTAAAAGTCACAAAAAGTTGAGGCATTTAGGAGTGTGCACCTTAACTGTAGCACGATATTCCCAGCGGTATTTTTAACCTAATTTCTGTCAGGCAGGCTTGCGAGCTCTCCCTGATTAAGTTTCCCTCCAGCTGCCCGTAATGTAGGCCACAAACATTTTGGTGATTTATACAGCTGTACCTGAGGCAGCAAACGGTGATGGATAGCATGAGGTCAAAGTTTGCTGTCATCAATTCGGCACAAATGATGTTTTCATCAGCTGGTCTTATCCTCACAATCACACAGGCTTACATTAATCTCAGCATAATAAACTTCCATCAGAGGCCCTTTCCTGCAGTTTGCCTTCATTATTCCCTGGATTTTGCCAGTTATGTTCTCTGCTGGGATGCGTTTTTTTGGCTTGAGACTGTTTTTTATCTTCTTTTATTGTGAGGCGCATTGCAGAAATGTCCCCGCAGTGCAGAGATTTGTTTAATATGAATGATTTGTCTGTGCCTGTGTGTGCTGTAAAGTAACAATTTAGGTCACTGTAGTACCCAGCGAAAGGCTGAGCTTTACTAAAGACATCACATCAGTGCAAAGAATTAACTTTAGCATAGATGGATGGTTTGGGAGGGGAGCGCTATCAAACGTTGTTTTAGGCAATTTAGAGCAGTGTGAGGGAACATCCGAGGGTAGCCGGTGTACTGAGACGCTCACTGTTGTATTCCGGTGTGCTTCCAGCTGAACGAGATGATCCGAGCTCCTGTTGAAGGGGATTTCTGGCAGGTTGACCACATCCGTCCGGTCTACAGCGGAGGAGGCCAGTGCTCTCTGGAAAACCTGCAGACACTCTGCACTGTCTGCCACAAAGCTGTATGTGCACACTCCGCATCACAGCACCCATAACAACCGCAGCACCAGCTTTTAAAGCCAAAGGGCTTAGGGGGCAAAAGCAATTTGTCTAACATTTTAAGGTGCACAGCAGATGGAGCTCTCCTTTATCCCTGTATAAAGAGAAAGCGCCATCACTCATGTTGAGGATCACATGTGCTGGCAGTAATGTGATACATGGTCAAACACATTGATCAAAAGTCATATTATCCCTCACAAAGCTATATACTGCCTATAATAACATCACATGATGTGGCTGTGTGACATTTTGATGTATAGCATGCGTTGGAAAATGCTATATATCGGCCTCTTCCTTCTTGCACTCCTTCAATATTTCATATTTTCAGTCAGCCACTTCTTAAAAGCAGATCTGATTTGAGAAGAAACTTTTCAAAATAAGACACAGCTTTCACCGTGAGCTGAAATGTGCTTTGCTTTCACACCAGAATGCTTTTTTCTGTCAGCTTGGAAGGAAACGCTTCACATGTTGACGTATGTAAACTGAAGCAAAGCACTGCGACTGATAAGGGGATCCTCGCACTGTTTATGCCCCCTCTCAGACACTTTAATCTAGAGATGCTCGATATATCGATCTGATTTTTCTGTGCTGACTGCAGATGTAACCTCTTACATCATGTTCCATTTTTCTCCACAGAGAACAGCTCAGCAAGCCAAAGAACGAAGCCAGAGCAGGAAGAGTGCTGCAGCTTCCAAGGTTTCGTCAGACATCAGCAGGTTCTTCGTTCAGAAAGAAAACAATTAGCTGGGACCTGTTACGCTTTCACTTATTGTCAGTTAGGGATAGAGCGATCCAATACTTGGATCAGATAGCCTGACACCAAAAGCTAGATCAGACATCCGTGACAGGGCTTAGCTATGCTCTTCAGGTCTATCATGTTTTGTGTTTACTACCCCACGCATCGGCAGCAATCTGCTAACTTCCAGCAGTCAGCTAACAGCAAAGCAACAGTAGTTCAAAGTGTTTCGCTACAGCAACACCAGTTTGTCTTAATATGCGTACAAGTGAGTTGGCACGACTGAAGAGCTTCAGCGACAGCAGTTCGGTCTGTTTCTCTTTCTCTGTCATTATGTTTGGTTTAACACTTGTTTGGAAGCTTTTGCGTCACTCATGGTAACTTAAAGGAAATTAAAGGAGAAACTGTGACTATAAATTACAGCACTGTGCTGTAATTAATCCTACACAAGGTTGAAATAACGCTAATGCAAATAAATGTTTTTTTAAAGCATAAATACATTTGTCTTTTAATACTTTTCTAATGAATAGGTCGATAATCTTCTGTCTCACTCCTCAGAGTGAGAAATACACATTATTGATTTAACACTGGACCTGGTAGCAGCAGATACCTGAGGCCAAGGTATCAGTGTGGTATTAGAAGTGGAAAAAGTTAGACTGGTGTATCCCCAGTTACAGTCCTGGATGCTCATATTAAACATTACCAAAGTGGTTAGAAAATGTGCAAAGTTCCAAAAGTTCAGGCTTCAGATAAACAGCCACTTTTTAGATGTTTTCTTTCTGCTCTTTTCTTTGAGAGTTGATATACGTGGTGTTATCTCAGCTACACGACTATGGTCACAGAAACTCAACCCACCTGTTCAAGAGGGGCAGCCAATCAGGAGATAGTCAGCTTAAAGGGAAAGAGAAGACAGTATAAATAATGCACGTACAATCCTTGACCCCTGTGTTTGCATGAACACTTCTGGTCTTATAGAACTTCATCAGACAACAACCAGCAGTTATAACCTCGCCAAACACTTTGCTCAGTCACTCGACCCTTTGCTATTTGCTTAGTAACTCATTTTTAGGTCGTATTGAACAGAAGATTAGGTCCATTTTATAAATTTTAATGGATATATGAGTCAGAAAGGAGGAGCTAAATAGCTAGTCATAGGCAGGCTTAGCTTGGGACATCACGACCAAATGAGTAATGTCCATCTTTTATACTGTATATGGAGAGAAGTTATCTAAAACAGCTTGTTTCAGGCAGCAGATGAGCCGATGGGCAAAACCAGTGGGAAGGATAAATATAGATTATTTTGAACTGTGCAAAGCCACTAGACCCTAACTGCAAGACAAAAAAACAAACGAGAGAAACAGAAGAGGAAAAGCAAAATAGGCCCCCTTTAAAGGTTTGGTGCAGTTTGCACATGTAAAGGTGTTTATTCAGTTTACATAAAGACGCACTGTGTGAAGTATCAGAAGTCCCATTTGCCGTGACAGATGAGGATACAAGGCCTTTAAAGATTCTGCCTAGCTTTCAGATGCTCTCATCTGCGTCCCACTGGACACCATTACGTTGGAAGATCTAGTAGTGGAGATTTACCTTAAAGAAAAGTGCAGTGACGTCTGCATCAAATGCAAATTCAGCCAACTCCCCTCTCGTCCCCGAACCGTCACAAGTGCGGTAGTTTTGATTTATGACGCCCCCTTCCCTTTTTTTTTTTTTTTGCTCGAGGCTGAAATGGAGCAGGTTGTTTAGAGAGATGCTGCTATTTTAAGATTTTGCAAAGTTGGTGAAAAGTAGCAGCTCAGAGATGAATTGCGAGCTTTGTGATTAAAACTCTACAGCAGCAAACACACCCAGGTGTCCTCATTGGTGCGATCAACAAGTGTCGCCTTGTAAATCTTTTTTTTTTCTTTATGAAAGATGGATGAGCACTCTCTGATGGAATGAGAAACCTCTTTTCACCTTGTTTCGTTTCTTCTTCTCCCGCTCTGGCGCTGTAACCGGTTTGGACTGTAAATACAGCGAGCCGTCGGCCGTTCCGACAAGCTCGCAAATCGTTTCATCGCCTCAAGTCAGGAACATTATCGTCCATGTCCACGCATCTACCTCCTCTTCAGCTGTGCTTGATGATCTGAGCAGAGCTAAAGTCAGTCAGGAGGGCTATGTTTAGAGACAGAGAGCAGAGTTACTATGGAAACAAGGCTTTAGGTTCAGCCATGTTGGGAATATTGAATCTGTTCTTGTGAGAGTTATACAATGAGCTAGACAGACATCAGAAACTCCAATCAATACCAGCAGCCTCCTGCGAGAACGAGGCCCTCGCATTCCTCCGCAGCGCGGTTTTACCTCCCCTCTCCGCTCTGAGGCTCCACCGTCGACGTTTTAGGGTGTCGTCATGTCACGATTTGCCTGTCTGTCAGCCGTGTCAAACGCCTAACTCAGCACATTCTGCCGTCGCAGGAAAGTTTTAAATTTTTCTGACAGCCCCCCCCAACTTCTCTCAGCCTATCAGCTGAAGACGCGCTTTAAACTTTCTCTGAGCCCATGTGGGTGCACGAGTGGGTGTATGTGTATTTCCCCTACGGCTGCTCCAGGTCTCCACTTAATAAGACCGTTGTTCCTCTCCTGTCCAAACCGACAAGCTTTGTGAGTAATGAACATCTCCCAGGCAGCCTTCCAACAACAGCAGGTTTCAGTGTCAGTCCCTGTCAGCAGCCAATGACTCTGATCCGCTGTTTTATTACACCCAAAAGGTGTGTGTGCGGCAGAGAGAAAGTGAGGAAACTAGTGCGAAAGTGTGGCTGAGTGTGTGTGCTGCTCAGATTAAGCTCGTGTGTTTGGCAGAGGGAAAGTGTATATTGGACAGGAGAGGAAGTGGTGTGCATGTGTTTGTCAGAGGAAGCCATAATGAGGCAGCGCCCAGATGAAGATATCTTGCATTCCTCCCAGAGGGTCTGCTGGGTAAAGAGCAGCGCCACAGCCGCGTGACACTGTTTGCGTTGGACAACCTATCAGCCCAGAGAACAACATTACCTCCACGGGTGATGACAGTAATAAAGATGGACTCAAACACCGACCGAGGTTTGCCTGTTTGCTTTCCGTCTAACGTGCTGCCCGCCTTCCTCTCACTTTTTGAAGTTGGCATCAGAGCAAAGAAGAAAAAAATCCAACTTGCTTTTTTTTCCTCCATCAAGTGAAATCGACATCCTTTCCACGGCGCCCCTACCGCATGGACCTTTCTGCAGGTTACATAGCAACAGAGCATACAGTGAATGCCGTGTGGATAAAATTAGCTGGACAAATATCTAGCAGAAATAATCACATGTAATTACAAGATCACAATATAATGTCAAAAGAAGGATGGAAGGGAAAGAAAAACAGCGCCATCTGACAAACATACAAAGCACAGAGAAACTGCTTTTAGTGCTTCTCATTACTTTATGTTATACGCTATGTTATACACATTTACATTTCATCTAAATATGGGGGGAGTTTCACATTATAAGGTTTGGATATCCAAAAGATCCAAAAAGTTCAGGCTCCTCCAAACACCCAGTTTCAGAGTATTTTTTCTACTTTTTGATCTGTGTGATGTCAGTGAGAGCAGATACAGCTGTAACCTGCCAATTCAAGCCAGCCAGTTAGACAAAAAGGTGGCTCCTGCCTCGCTCACACAGGCCTAGAGACTTGTCGGTGACCCCTTGGTGACCTTTGGTTGCTTGGAAAATTTTCTATTCCCTGACCTGGAATGCTGGCAGTGAAAAACAGCTGAAATCAGTCACATGACAGACGCTGATTCATCTGCAGACACATTCATCTGCGCTGTAGTGCAATTTGAAAAAGCGAGCTCACCTTTAAAGTAAAAGTTGTCTTACCTCTGCAACGGAAAAAGGTGCTTTCTGTTTTGCATTACACTTTTCACATTTTCTCTGTTGAATTCAATTCAGTTCAGTTTTGTTGATATAGCACCAAATCACAACAGTTGCCTCAAGCTACTTTACATTTTATAGTAAAGACTCAACAATATTACAAATTACAATCATACAGGTGTATACACCATCAAGCACATTTTATTTAGGCAAACACTTGGTGACAGTGGGGAGGAAAAACTCCCTTTTAACAGGAAGAAAGCAGGTTCAAAAGGCGCCCAGAGCAATCACGAGGACGTTTTGGGTGCAGCACTTTATACCTCTTTTCACCCACTTGAAAACCTCTCACAAATACACACTTCTCCCTAGCAACCAGTGGTTGCCAGGGGAGATTTCTAGGACCACTGGCTCATTTCTGGGCTTGAGTGAATTTGGCTTTAGCAAACAATTTAACAGCAAACTCTAGCAGCCACTCACCAACTGGGCGGAGGAAGACCTCTTCCCTAACAACCATTGGTTACCAGATGGTCATGAACTGATCTCTAGGCCTGGGTTACTTGAGCCTTAAGGGGAGGGGGAGGGGCTAAAAAAAGGCTTGATGGAAAGCACCCAGGGTCAGTATAAGAAAAATGACTAAGAATAAAAATATGAAGCTGGAATTTAGCATATTAGTTTTTTCCCCTTTAAACGATTATTGGGTTTAACATTTAACACGTTTCTTTTCTGATTTAAAAAAGATTATATTAAACCACCAAACCCAGCTTAACTTTTCTTGAAAGTTTTGTGTGTTTATGAAAGTTGGATACATAATTTCTTTAGGCTGCTGTTTTCAAAACCCGAACACATCTGGGGCGCCTTTAGCTTTCACAGTGTTATATCGAATCTTTTAAAGTGGTGTTAATAAATAAACCTAAAGGTACGACTATCGCTACAAGCTAATGTAGCATGCTTTTATTGCTGACCGGTGTCGAGGGTAACACATTACTGTAATCACATTCCATTTGTCTGTAACATATTAGTTTCTTTATACAGCAATCACATTACAGCTACTAATTATACAAATACATCAGTTGTGCTCTGTAGGTATTTAATCTGCATCACTGGCAGGTAGAAATATGCTGACCTCGGTTAGTGCGGCAGATAACACACAGAGGGGAGAGCAGTCTACAAGTTTGAAGAACTGTTTTGAATTTGTTGTGTTCAGGGACGTTTTCAAGATTGCGCAGCTGGAACCAAGAGCAAAGCATCAGGGGGGCGCGGGAAAACAGAATGGTTGATCAGACATAAATATGGTGCAGAAAATTGATGTAGAAAACAGTGAGGAAGGTGCACTTTCCAGCCTGTGCCTTCATACAGATGGTATTCATGAAAAGCGGGACCGCACGAGAGTTTAAGATGCTTTTTTATGTGTGTCAAAACAAGGATTTAGACCTTTAAGACTTCATAATCCTGTTTAAGTAGCAAAAAATTACAAAGGTTTAATACATTATACGTAATAGCCCTTTTTTCACACCCATAATCCTGTTGGTTCATAATTCCTGATTAATTATTTGTGTATGACTTTAACGTGCAGCTGGAGATGATTTGAATTCATTCTATAAAGCTGGA